AGCGTACTTTTTACTACAAAAAACAAAGAAGATAAAAAATAATTTTCAGTAAATAGGGCCCAGATAAAATAAACGGTTAAATAACCAACCAAAGGAATTTTTAAAATGTAGATCTACGCATTTTTGTATATGAAAATTTAAGATCCTGATGTAATCGTCACTATATGTATCATCGGCCTTTCCAAGACACAATGGACCGCCTCGAAGAATATATATATATATATATTTATATATAAATAAATATATATATATATATATATATATATATTTATATATATATATATATATATATATATATATATATATATATATATATATATATATATATATATATATATATATATATATATATATATATATATATAAATATATATATATATATATATAAAGCAAAGTGGTCAAGTGCCCGATAGGGCACTTCCCGGCGCCGCAGGCGCGTCAAATTTGGCACGATTGTGCCTTCGGGCGATAGAACACGAAGGCCGGTGACGGTTGGCCGAAAAGTCTACGGAGAGGGGGTCAAAACTGACCTCGACTGACCGGCGCCTTATATGGGCTATATTACGAAAAAAAATTTCCTCAGACGACCCCCCTTGAAATTTTGTGAGGTGGTAGGAGAACGCCTTGGGGTGTCACAAAAAACTCGCCATGTCCAGGAAAATTCGTTAAATGGGTCAAAACTGACCAGTCGTATTTCCCTATATAATCTTTGTATTTTATGGGAAAAACAGAGGGTTTTTTCAAAACGGATTTTAGGGCACTTACCCTCTTTACATCTGGCTAATGTTTGGCATGTTTATAGGTAGATGGCTTGTATATATATATATATATATATATATATATATATATATATATATATATATATATATATATATATATATATATATATATATATATATATATATATAGAATATTAATTTATGATACTGCTGAACGTATACATAAAATATTAGAATTTATGCCAGACGACTTTTTAAAAAAAAAAAGAACTTAATTAAGAGATAAATCAACTCATACAGTTTTCTTCTCCGATGATCATCACATAACAAAGATAATTTTTTTAGAACCTCTTTTGCAATAGTCACCAAATAACTTCACATTCTGTATAACTTTTAGAGCTTGTTCTGCGATAGTCATCAAATAGCTTCCCCGAGGATTCTAAAAAAAACACTGTTCACAATCGGTACATTTTTAAAACCTCAACTGCGATAGTCACCAAATAGGTTCCATTCTGTAAAAGCGTAAGAACCTCTGACTAACAGTGCATCCGGTTCCCAGACAAGGGCGCTACCCCTCGCCTACACTCCCATTTTTTTCATTTTATTTCATAGCCAGCATCTATCAAGCTTCAACCGTGCTTCGATTTTCCCCAGCATCTCCATACATTCTTCTCACAATCGTCTATTAGTCTATGTGAATCACGGGCAACATTTATCCCACTATGTGAAGTCTGGGCACCATCAGTTCTATTCCACTATATGAAACCCGGCCACCATCTACCCCACTAAATGAAACCTAGCACCATCTAACCCACTATGTAAAACCTAGCACCATCTACCCACTATATAAAACCTAGCACCATCTACCCCCATTATGTGAAACCTAGCACCATCTACCCCACTATATAAAACCTAGCACCATCTACCCCCCCCCCCCCCACCATGTAAAACCTAGCACCATTCATCACTCTATGTAAAACCTAGCACCATCTACCCCACTATGTAAAACCTAGCACCATCTACCCCACTATGTAAAACCTAGCACCATCTACCCACTATGTAAAACCTAGCACCATCTATCCCACTATGTAAAACCTAGCACCATCTACCCCCCCCCCCCCCACTATATAAAACCTAGCACCATCTACCCCACTATGTAAAACCTAGCACCATTCATCACTCTATATAAAACCTGAGCATCTGACGTCCAACAAATCACGGCCTACACGACAGAGCCATAAATAGCCAAACAAAAAAAAAATCCCATGAAACATTGCGGCGGTTTATTCAAGTAATAAATGAAGAGGAGTTACATACTTTATGTTTCTCTTGGCTTTTTTGTGTTTCAGCAGTGCAGTGGGATATCCATAAAATACGCGTGCACTTGACGTTTTAGGATTAAAGGTTTAGCCGTTATTCTTTATTCATATAGGGGTGAGGGGGGGGGGGGGTGGCGCCGTTGTTAAAGTTGATGATATAGAGTTCAGTTTCGGCTTGGAGTAAATATTAAGGTTATGTTTAGATTAGGGATTAGAGTAATTGTTGTGATGAGTGATGAGGTTAAAGAAATTGATATTGATTTTTTTTTCCCGGGATAGCCTACTCGACATGCGAATGTTTGTGGTTATGGCTAATCAAAGAGTACTGGTATAAACCCATAGTTATTTCTAATCGTTGTGTATCTGAATACGACGATGTTAGTCTATCAGTTATTTCTAATCATTGAGTATCTGAATACGACGACGAGGGTTAGTCTATCAACAGAAACGTGACTGCAGATAGCAGAATCATAGATAACAATCAAAATTGGCATCAACCAATGTCCAAAGATCGATCAATATCATGCACGAAACGAACATTTTTTTTTTCTTCTTTCTTTTAACATCGTCATTTTATCTTTAGACTCGTTGGTTTGTGTAAACCGTACATGCAGTTCAGTAATGAAAATGTTCTCCCTAGTGTATACTTTAAACTTTGTCTGAAGATTTAACACAATTAACATATAGAGTTAACTCTTACTCCGATCTCTTCCTCCCTGTATTTCTCTCTAAATATATTCAGTGTGATCCTTTATTGGTTAATGTACAAACGTAATGCTGGCCAGTACTGCACGGGTCTCGAAAACTAAATCGTACACCCACCCCCGTCACTGCTCCCAGATACCGATCCTCCCCCCTCCCCTAGGTTACTTACGTACATCAGTATAGGCTATATACGTCAACATCGGCTATGCTTATATGTTTAAATATATACCTGCTTAGTTATAGTGTATATATACTATATGTATAAATAAATAAATAAACTTATATATACATATATATATATATATATTTATATATATATGTTTATATATATATACATATAGATATACATATATATATATATATGTAATATATATGTAATATACCGGAAACAGCATACAGGAGATTAAAATGGATAAAGAACGAGAGTAATAATATTTGTTCCGGGGTTTAAAAAAAAAACTCCTAAATTTAGATAAACAAGCCCAAAATTGGGCCTGTATTTGATTTTTCCTCTACTGCAAGCTTACATTAGCTGGGGTTACCGTTCAGATATCGGTATTGATCCCCACTACCCCCGGACGTCCCGTCTCGCGATGTGGGCGGCTATAGATTGTTTCTGGAATAACTTTTTTTTTTCTTGGTGCCTTATGATAACTTGTTTTTCTCTTGCTGCATATAATCCCATATGATATCTAGAGTTTTGAGTTTCCATAACGGAGATTGTGTGGTGTGCCCAATGCTGTTGTAAGCGACATAAAGCCAATCGTTTCTGAAAAAAAACATTTCTGGCTAATCTTCTGGCAATCAAAATATGTATCTATTTGCCTACTCACTATCTCTCTCTCTCTATCTTTATATAGAGAAATACAAATATCACACACACAATTATACATACATACATACATACATATATATATATTATATATATATATATATATATATATATATATATATATATATATATATATATATATATATATATATATATATAAATTAGACGGCGTTAACCGTTTCATAAACAGCGTAATAATGCCTGAAATGAGCCATCCGAACTATAGACAATTAACGCGTTTTGTTTAGATTTAAAAGCGTCCAGTGCTATACCCCAATCGGGTAGTTAAAGCTGATGTAGTAGAGTTAATGTTTTGTTTCAACCTGACTGTTTGAATAGATCGTGTGACGAATCCCACACCGACCCTTCTTTACTTTCCCGCGAAGTATAGCCAGGTACCAGTTAGAGCTGAGTTAACTCAGGCAATGAAGCACAACACGGTATACCCCGGGCTAACAATAAAGTGTATTGATACTGAACCACAACGTGCGGTTCAGAGAATATACTTCTTGTTGTTTTAACTTGAGATACATCCAGAGGCGTAGCGAGGGCGGGGCGTGGGGTGCGGACCGCACCGGGTGACACTGTTTAGGAGGGTGACACCCAGGCAAAAAAGCATATACACATACCTGTACGCGTGTGCGGCATTTATTTGAATTATAGGCCACACACACACACACACATATATATATATATATATATATATATATTTATATATATATATATATATATATATATATATATATATATATATATATATATATATATATATATATATATATATATATATATATATATATATATATATATATATATATATATACATACATTGTTTCTTGTTGGGGGGGGGGGGTGACACCAAGAAGTGCCGCACCGTGTGACACACAACCTAGCGACGCCACTGGATACATCATAAATCTCGAACACTGACCAAATCTTCGATATTTTTATGGTACAAAACCTTGCACTATTTACAAAATATTGCATGCGTTCTTCCTCAGTATTTTTCACCCCCCCCCCCCCCCCTCGTGTTTGTAGTTCTTATCTTTTGGTCATAAAAAGCCCAGTCGCCTCTCAAGTATCCCCCCCCCCCCCCCCCCTCAGCGATCCACCCAAATCGTCTTGTTGAATGAGTCTCCAAATCGTCAGGAAGGAGACTTCGCGCAGCCGCAAACACAACGCGATGTCGTCTGCTGTTCTTTTTTCCGGTGGCCCGCCGTTTTTTTCAATCTGGCTATCGCCTAATCTCGATGCCGCTGTTTTTTAATTAATGCTTTGACCGTCGTCACAGAGTTACCCCGCTTGGTAGTTGGAGAGGGAGGGGAAACAACCCTGGGATGATAAAAGCTCGTGAGTTTCGCGTCTGCGCTGCCTTTGAAACGTATCCAGCGAGGAAGTTGTTTGTTTTTATCAAAACCACGTCGCTTGCTTGATCAGGAAAACTATTTTTATTATAGATTTTTTTTTAAAAATCAAAGACAGCTGTTAGAAGGCTGTTGTGTTATAAATGTCGTTACGTTTAAGTAATATTTTCTTTACAAAGTAAAAGCAAGTGTTGAAAGTGAATCTGAAGTAAGAAATTATTTTGATAGAGCAAGTTAAACTTTAATGTTTAGTTAATTTGCTGAAAGTTCAAGAACTTTGTAAAGCTTTGAAAAAAGTGAAGAAACCAATCGATTTTGTGATTATCAACTGCGTGGATTTGTTCTGTACGGCCAAGATACGCCCACGATTGTTGCAGGAATCACGCGGCCGTAAGGAAACGGAGGGGAGCAGTCGAGAGGAACCAGAAAGTGCTGTAGTAGGGAACTAGAGGAGCGCGGTGCTAGGGAACTTGAGGAACGCAGCTGTGAGGAACTACAAGACACAGTCCAAGGGAACTAAAAGAACTAGGTAACTAGAGTAACTAGAGGGACTAGATGAACTATAGGATATCAGTATTAAAGAACCCGAGAAACAAGTAACAGCTGGAGAAAGGAACTGAAGGAACTTGGTCGTAGGGAACCAAAAAGTGCAGTAAGGAGGAACCATAGGGTCAAGTTCCCAGGAAACCAGCTTGTCGAGTCGTAAGGAACATGTAAGTACCAGTATACACATTCATTGTGGTGCACTTTCCACTCTCAACCACACTACATCAGCATTCTGGGTCATTATGTTACAACACATTCTTGATTCATCATCATCCTCGGTTCATTCTAGACCACAGTTACCGTACATAGTTCCCCACCTCTAAATCTTGGATATAGATACTTAAAGAGGTTTTAGTAACACATGTTTAATTACGTATTGTTTATAGTTAAGAAAGCTTATGAATTTATTTTTTGGTGAATGTCTATATACAGATACAACTAAATAATCACGTTGTGCTGCTATTAGATTTTATTACTGGTTTTCCATTATATATATATTCATTATTAAAATATACCGATATGTCATAGAATTTGTACAAGTAATTGAACATTCGTTCTTTTTTTATAACTTCAATTTGTAGCAGTGTATAAACTATGAAACATTTATATTACAACTAGATAAACAGTATAAAATAGCTTGCAAACATGTATTTATACACTAACACGCACACACACACACACACACACACACACACACACACACATATATATATATATATATATATATATATATATATATATATATATATATATATATATATATATATATATATATATATATATATATATATATATATATATATATATATATATATATATATATATATATATATATATATATATATATATGTATACTCCTATTCCAAGATTGTATTATGTGTGTGGTGTGTACATATTATATAATGGTATGAATTTATAATGTAGGCCTATCCGGTTTATTTTTAAAGTTAGCACCACACACAAAATAGAATCGATTGCTTGATATGGCTGCGATCAATGACAGAACACTTGATTTATATCCGTAACGGGGCCAGTCCAAAGTTTGGCACCGCTCCTAATTTATAGCGTATTGTGCTACAGGCTACACATGTGCTAGTGCTACTGTCTACAGTTTTATTTTACATAAGCATATACATATGCATACAGCTCTGTAGAACTCTTAATATAGATGTATACCCAATGTATTAGTAAGTAAAGGAGATAACGAAATGAAATACAGAAACTTAGCAATAAAGAGGTGTCGGTTGGGACCTTTCTTTTCTGATTTTGTTTCAATATTAAGTAGTGAACATTCAATTCACAATGATGTATAGTCTATGTAATAAATTGACAACAACGAAAATTAGATCGAAATAAATGGTTGCTTAGTAATTAGTAAAATTATTTAATTTTAAAATAAAGCAGTAGCCAGACGTAAACTATCTCTCTCTCCCTATATATATATATATATATATATATATACATACATATATATATACATATACATATATATATACATATATATATATATATATATATATATATATATATATATATATATATATATATATGTATATATATATGTATATATGTGTGTATATGTATATATATATATATATATATATATATATATATATATATATATATATATATATATATATATATATATATATATTATATCGTGTCAAACATTACAGATAATTTTAATAAATACAAAGTGTATTAATAGATTATGATGGCCATTCAATTGAATCAACGTTCACCGAGTCTACTTGAGCCTTAGATCTTTACATATCTGTTTCATATCGGAATTCCTATCCAAATCTCTTCCATTACAAAACTATTATTTTCCATCAAAACCTCTCCATCTTGATAAACCGATTTCATTGTTCTCAACAACGGAGACCCCGCCGCGGGGCGCTGCAGGGCGCTGCCTGGGCAATTGAAGCTAACACTCGTTAGCGACATCCAGATATTTCATTTGTTGTTCCGTTCAACAAAAAAAAAGTTTCTCGAAACGATTATCGCCCCTCACTGCAAACACCGCTGTAAGGGGAGTTAAGTTGCGACGCAAATTAAATGTAGTCTGTTTATTTAATCATAGAACGTAACATCACAGAGGAAAATTGTTTTGTAGAACTAACAATTTAGAACTACTTAAAAAAAGAAAAAGCTGAATTCAAATCTTCCTGTAGTCTGTTAGGAAAAAATATTTTTAAAAATTTCTTTCAGAATTTCTCCGTGATAAGATGGCGCCTTGCACCCTGGGAATAACATCCAAAAAATTATCGTGACAAAATCAATATACGCAATATCAAAGAAGCCGTTCAAATTACAACGAAGTTTGCAAATGTGCAAATAGGGTCATTTTTTTCATGTCATGAACTTTTTGTAGTTTGCGATAGCCGGTTTAACTGGGCTAAGAATTAAATATTGGAGTAATGTAGAGTACTACTTCATAAAATATTATTGCTAAGAGCTAATCCAAATAAATGTTGGAGTAATGTAAAGCACTACTACGCAGAATGTTATTGTTAACAGCTCGTTCAGATAACGTAAAGTAAAAGCACTACATTAGATAAAGTGCTTAAAAAAAGCACTAGATTAGATATATTTCACAACAGCGTAAATTACTAAAACATAGATATTAAAGTAAATTTCTACTCTATATACATATCAGAGTAATGTAAAGTACTGAATCAAATAAATGTGAAACAGTCACATCAACTTAATCAGTAACCGTGTTACTATAAATAAAAATACGCCAAATTGCTTGCAGTTCCCCAAACCAAAATTAATTAGTCATTTAGGATAGTAAAAATGTACTTTTAAAATCTTCCTAGATCTAGCCTTATCTTCTAGTAGTCATGAAAAAAAAAACAACCACCCACCTGTTTTACTAATTAACTCAAAAAAAATGTTAAAGTTTTTATTTATCATTAAGAGAAACGTATTTTCCAAAAGGGACACTATCCACATAGATTTATTCAGCAAATTAGAAGCTTGGTTCACTTTCTCTTTCTTTTTTCTTTACTTTTGCATTTTACAATATTTTAAAAAAGCCTTTATGTGTCATTTCAACTGTAATTATCACGGAATAAAGCAACGTTCTAGCTTCGAGTATGTACAGTTAATCGTTGAAGACATACGCAAACATAAACATTACAGGATCATAGATTTTAGTTCTATTTATTTCTCCGTTTAAGATATCTGTTAGAAAATAGAAAAAAAAACAACATACATCTCTGTTGACTTTTAGTCTAAATGCGGAAAGGGAATTACCGGAAGTTGAAACCGAACCAAATTGGTGAGACGCAGTACCTGATTAGCTTGTGGGCTGTTTCCGAACAAAGAAACAAACACTGGATCAATACGATACCACAGCCAGACTGTAATCAAAGCGACAAGAAAATGGGCGCAAATAATCGCTTTGAAAAAAAAATCGATACACTTTTATACTTTTTTTGACGAATATAATAAAAAATAATATCTTGCAAGCATTTTACCCCCGAAGACTAGTGTATGACGATTATGTTTTGTTTACTAAAGCTTAATAAAAAATCAATATCACCGATATTGGTTTTCTCCCCTCATGAAGTCCCATTTCGCTAGCGATTTACTTCCCCTGACTTGGACCTCGGCTGACGTTTCCATCGTAATTTATCAGGCGCCTTTCTACACTGCGAATCTTATCAATGGCGCTGTTGAGGTCGAATAAAATATTTATAGATTTATGCAAATAGGGAAATGTTAATAATCCGATGTATAAATATGCAAAATTTGACATTTATTCTATTTTAAATCCAAATATAGTTTTGCCTCATTCTAATTTTCCCTTGGAAATGGTAGCTCATACATTAATATACATTGCTTATCAGAGAAACTGCTGTAAAATGTTTGCCAATTCAGACTTACGTTCACAGTGCAGTCTGCCAAAACTATGAGCATCAGTCGACCACATTCATATCTTGTCTTCTAAGTTTAATGGCAGAATGACCTTTTGTAAACTTAACCCGATTATTACACCCCCTTACAACACCAATAAATCTTCATAATCTAAGGAAACGAAATATACTTATTTTCAATATACCCCCCCCCCCCACTCTAAAGACTTATACGTCGTCTGTATCATATTCTAACGCAACACATTTTTTTTCAATATGCGTTCCGATTTTCAGCAAGGATAATAACGTCATGTAACTGATTATCACCCTTTAGTTAGTTTGAATATATATATATATATATATACATATATATATATATATATATATATATATATATATATATATATATATATATATATATATATATATATATATATATATATATAATTATATATGTATTCTTTTGTAAGCGATAAATTGATTTCTGCAGTTTGTGGCATAAAATAAATTTCCTTTTATTCAAACACCCGTTGTTTACAAAACAAATTGACTTTCGGTAGAACAAAAACCTTGGGAGACTTTCATCTCTTCATTCACACGAGATTGGAATGACTACGTCACATGATGTAGTTCCATTCTTGTCGCACAAAGATATCTTTTTCTTTAAACCCGGAAGACAGACCTGTCTTGTTCAACTTTATCTTTGATGGTGATGACGCGTATTTGATGTTCTATATATATATGAATACCTTTTATGTGCCGTTGCACCTCTATAAACAATTTTAAGGAATTCGTTTTCAATTAGTTATGAGAGTGTAATTGTCCAGGGTATTAAATTATTTAAGCTGAGATTATTATATTATAAAAAAAATAGGTTCTCATAAAAACATAAACTATTTTTTTACTACAAATATATTACTTCATTCTGACGTTTTGGGATTAGTTGGGGAAAAACTACGCAGATTCACAATGTTGCTGACAATTATCGCCCCTAGCCGCTTCACAAGCACTCAGTACACATCCAGATTGCGTCCCTTGATAGTGGAGCTACATTTCTACTCTCAGCCTTTCAATAGCGACCCCCCCCCCCCTGTTAGCTGGCAGATAGCTTTTCAGTTTGGCTATCCGGAGTTTTTAACTTTTTTTTTAAACTGTTGAAATATCGCGCGCCACGGAAGTGACTTTATACTCTTGCATTTCCGGTGTCGTTTAATGGATTCCCCCCTCCGCCCCTTCCTTACAGAAGTTATATTAGAGTCGTGTGTGTGAGTGTTTGATCGAGTCGTCCAACAGGCTGTTCAACA